CGAGACTTTGGCCTCGAGAATTCCCGAAACTCGAGAAAAAAAATAAGTCGAGAAATCAGAAACCCTATTCGGTTCCAAAAAAACAATATTTTGATTATGTTTTTTTATTGAAATAACACTTCTTTGAATCGACTAGGAATAATCAACNTCATGTGGCAGCAAAATAAACGTTATTCTATTCTATTCTATTCTTGTGTGCCGTGTGGGGACGGCCATAAAGAATACTCTTCCCCACCGCCAACAGGAGGCGTGTCGTAAGAGGCGACAAAATCCCTGCAGCACCGGACGGGCAGCAGCGTCTGCGTGCGAAACCTTATAAAAAACTGCGATCGCCAACCCGCCTGCCAAGCGTGGCGATTAAGGCAAATCCCCCCTCCCCATGGAGAGGAAATCCTTGGGGGAGGCCTTTGTCCAGCAGTGGACGTCTCTCGGCTGAAACGAACGAACGAATAGTGTGCTTACTTTCTGTGAAAGTGTTCTTTCACAGAAAGAAGCAATGAAAAGGGGGAGCGAGAGGCCTCAGCCGACACTCCGGTTATCCGCTGCCGACACCCTTTGCGCAAGAGGACAGCTTATGGTCTCCAACTGTCCCTTCCTAACAGGCCTCGGTCGTTAGACATGGAGGTGTCTGGTGGCGGCTAAGGACGAATGCTACAGGCAACAGCCAATGGCGATGTCCCGCGTTCCCTCATATCACTTATATGGATCATGGCAGAAACAGTCAGGTTTTTAGTGGGTGTAGGGGCTACCCACCTTCTGGTAGGTAGGTGGCTAGCTGCCCCTGCAGCTGGTGGGTATGAAATGTTATGCATTTTCCGGATAAAAAAAGAATAGTAAACAGGAAAAGTTTGTTTTGAATAGAACCGATTTGAAAAAATCTCTCACAATTAAAATTCAAAAATTTTTCTGCTGAACATAGGCTGTATAAAATATTCTCAAAATAGTAAAAAACCTTTGATAATTTACTATTTGATAAAGAATTTACGTATTTATTATTGATTAGGACTAATGTATACCATTATTTATAATTATGGAGTCGGTATTGGAAGATTTTATAGTTTCCTTGAGCTGTCACTTGACAGCCTGGCATACTTTTACGATGGTGGATCAAAGTATTTTGATTTGACTATAGAGCGTGAGAACACGCACACAGTCATAATTATTTTAGTGTGAATAAAACTAGCATCGAAATTACCTAAACTTGACATGCCACGCTAGACGTAAACGCTCTTAAGTTACTTACTTGATTTTAGGAAACTAATACTAATTTTCAGGCGATCATTTTGTACACGTGGAAACTCAAGAAAAATTTCTGTATGATTTCCTATAACTGTGTTAAGTAGGTACCGTGGAAACGGGAAAACTTTTATCTAATAAGGAAATTCCTCTCCAAGGGCCGCTGTTCCCACGGCAGCTCGTAAAATTAACGAAAACTGTTTGGTATTTTTTTGTAACGATCTTTGTAAAATTATTCCGTAGGGAATATGATACGGGAAAGGTTTTATCTAATTTATTAGAGCTTTAACTTTATATGGTATTTATTATCTTCGCAATCGATTTTTGTAATTCGTGTTCTTATTATGGAGTTTCATTTTTGTTGACAGATGTTCTTGGAAAAACAGGTGAGATACAGGCCAAGAGCTTCCTCGTTGTGGATAAAAAAAAAAAAAAAAAAACAAATATATCATGAAAAACATTTGTTTATTTTTTTTCTTAACCTTACGCTACCTTTACTTGCTTTATGACCCTATGTACGTGGTATTTATGAACTCTATTTAACTATGACTACGGTAACATGAATACCTACTTAAATAAATAGATAACTCGATAAGGTTTCATTGGTCATTTCTTATCAATTACATGGCTAAACTAATGCAATTTACATATTAATTTTAATAATATAACACTAGGTGAGCAGTTTATTTATAATTATGTACCTACTACTCATAGTACATACTAAAGTTTTCTGTGTAAAATACTAATATTTTACAAAGTATAAATAATTTACAAATTCTCTTAATAGTAATTAAATAGTTAATAATATGATTTTCATCAACTAACACAAAATAAAAACTAAAGCTAGAATACCTACTTCAAAGCCTAGGCGCAGACCACCGATTTTTAGTCGGCAGATAGTGGATCCCGATTAATTTGTATGAAGAATCAATCAGTGTAATGTGCGCACTTCCATACATGCCCATACTGATTAACTGCCCGACTAAACTATCGGTCGATAAAAAATCGGCGGTCTGCGCCTAGGCAAAGACTTACAATATAATCTTAGGTGGTTACAATTTAATCTTAAAATCATTATAAATCAGTACTCCCTTCTACATTGTCTCTCACCGCTTCCTTGAATCTCTCGCAGAAGTCTGGATCGTCGACAAAGTGCGGTTGCTCTCCCGGGGGATAGGTGGGAACCTTCTTGGCCTCCCGGTGTTCGTCCGGCGCGGGGCCGCTGAAGCAAACCACCTTTTGGTGGTCGTCTTTCGCGGCCCCCGATTTGAGGATGCCTTTCAGAGGCATTACGTTGTCGCAAGTAGGTTTGCTGTTGGAAAAAATTCAAATAAAGTAATTTTTTTTTTAACATTGAACGCCCAGTTAACTCGTCGAGAATTAGGTAGAGACGACGGCACATAAAAATTCGGGAGCTCATAAAAATATTTTAAACTGGTTGGTGTCCGATTTCTTTTACAGCTTATAATATGGTCCCTTGTCTCGTAAACCACCTAATTACTCAACCTCGCCATACACAGTGAGTCGTCATACGATAATCCTGTCCGTTGTCATTTGCGGCGGCGTGGCGCTGCCTTCCACCACGTCGAGGGCGGCGAGGCAGCGCTCCATCGCGTTCGGTTCAGCAACGGTACCTAAGTACTACCTACCTAAGTAGTAGCCTAGGTAACTTTGCAAGCTTGACTTCCTAGCTCTGTAACTATTTCCTTACCTCATCCTCGCTACACGCAGCGAGTCGTCATATGATATCCTGTCCGTAGTCATTCGCGGCGGCGTCGCACTGCCTTCCACCACATCGAGGGCGGCAAGGCAGCGCTCCATCGCGTTCGGTTCAGCCACAATACCTACCTACCTACTTGAATGGGCCCTAGTCTTTTAATGCTCTACTCACCTTTCTATCCACCGCTATAACAATTTACTTACCTCATTCTCGCCACACGCAGCGAGTCGTCATAGGATATCCTGTCCGTGGTCATGGGCGGCGTGGGTGGGCGCGGTGGAGTCGCACTGCCTTCCACCATGTACAGGGCGGCGAGGCAGCGCTCCATCGCGTTCAGTTCAGCCACAGTACCTAAGTAGTAGCCAAGGTACCTCTGCAAGCTTGACTTCCTAGCTCTGTAACAATCTACTTACCTCATCCTCGCCACACGCAGGGAGTCGTCATAAGATATCCTGTCTGTGGTCATCGGCGGCGTGGGTGGGCGCGGCGGTGTCGCGCTGCCTTCCACCACGTCGAGGGCGGCGAGGCAGCGCTCCATCGCGTACGGTTAACCCACAATACCTACCTACTTAATTGGTCCCTTGTCTCTTATTACTCTGATTCCTACTTGAGAGGTTCCTTGTCTCTAACGCACTGCCCTGTAACAATCTACTTACCTCATCCTCGCCACACGCAGCGAGTCGTCATAAGATATCCTGTCTGTGGTCATCGGCGGCGAGGCAGCGCTCCATCGCGTTCGGTTCGGACACGGTACCTACCTACCTAAGTGTTCCCTTGTCTTTTAATGCTTTTCTTACCTGACCTTCTTTCTGCTGTAACGATTTACTTACCTCATCCTCGCCACACGCAGGGAGTCGTCATAAGATATCCTGTCCGTGGTCATGGGCGGCGTGGGCGGGCGCGGTGGAGTCGCACTGCCTTCAACCACGTCGAGGGCGGCGAGGCAGCGCTCCATCGCATTCGGTTCAGTCACAGTACCTAAGTACTACCTACCTAAGTAATAGCCTAGGTACCTCTGCAAGCTTGACTTCCTAGCTCTGTAACAATCTACTTACCTCATCCTCGCCACACGCAGGGAGTCGTCATAAGATATCCTGTCTGTGGCCATAGGTGGAGTGGGCGGGCGCGGCGGTGTCGCGCTGCCTTCCACCACGTCGAGGGCGGCGAGGCAGCGCTCCATCGCGTACGGTTAACCCACAATACCCACCTACTTAATTGGTCCCTTGTCTCTTATTACTCTGATTCCTACTTGAGAGGTTCTTTATCTCTAACGCTCTGCCCTGTAACAATGTACTTACCTCATCCTCGCCACACGCAGCGAGTCGTCATAGGATATCCTATCTGTGGTCATGAGCGGCGTGGGCGGGCGCGGTGGAGTTGCACTGCCCTCCACCACGCCGAGGGCGGCGAGGCAGCGCTCCATTATTTTCGCTTCAGCCACAGTACAGTACCTTCCTATTAAAGCGATCCCTTGTCTTTTAATACTATTATCCAATTTACTTACCTCATCCTGGCCACACGCAGGGAGTCGTCATAAGATATCCTGTCTGTGGTCATCGGCGGCGTGGGCGGGCGCGGCGGTGTCGCGCTGCCTTCCACCACGTCGAGGGCGGCGAGGCAGCGCTCCATCGCGTACGGTTAACCCACAATACCTACCTACTTAATTGGTCCCTTGTCTCTTATTACTCTGATTCCTACTTGAGAGGTTCCTTGTCTCTAACGCTCTGCCCTGTAACAATGTACTTACCTCATCCTCGCCACACGCAGGGAGTCGTCATAAGATATCCTGTCTGTGGTCATCGGCGGCGTGGGCGGGCGCGGCGGTGTCGCGCTGCCTTCCACCACGTCGAGGGCGGCGAGGCAGCGCTCCATCGCGTTCGGTTCGGCCACGGCCGCTTGGCCGATCTTGGCGAGCTGCGCGCGAGTTTCGGCCGCTTGCTCGTCACGGACGGCTTCCTACAAATGGTTTTAACGAATTTATTGAATTGAAAACTATCCAGTGCAGTTTTTGGGATAGTTCGTTAGCATGTATGTAAGTGTACGGCAGAGTTAGAGTGAAACCTGTGCCCTGCAGTTATTCGAATTGTAGACTGAATTGCATTTTTTCTGCACGCTGATAACACTTATGCAAGTTAGGCCTTTTCTATAATTTCCATAATAAGTACGTAAGTCAGGTTCCGAATTCTTTTTTAAAAACAATGTTCTTTGAACCCTGTTTTTGATTTATTCTATGAAGATATAATAAGAAATAGAAAGAAGAAGAACACCCATCAAAGCTATAGAATACTTAGGTACCGCAAGTTCGTCCTTCAGGTTGCCCTCGCGCATGTGGTAGTTGCGCACGTTGTCGATGACCTCCTGCGGAAACTTGTCCGGGTTGGCGCTCATGTACCGGTACACGAAGAGGTCGCAGCCGATAATCCTGAAGCGGTGCTTGAATACCGGGACAATTGCCCCTGGAATGGGGCAAAAGATGTTCAGCGATAACGCCCCCTTGTGGGCGCTGCAGACTTAAAGAGTAAGAGACTCAGAAAAAAATTAGAGCGTTGTGTAGAGGATAGGGGAGCGATTCGTAATTTCATCTAATAAAGTGGTTTTTAAGTAGGTGAAAAACTGGGGGTAGTAAAAAATAATTTATTCTCAAAGTGGGCAGTAGGTAAAATATGTTTAGGAAACCTATGCTCTAAGGTAAAAAAATAAATATTAACATTCATTAGCTCTTCAGGTAAATGGGCGTTTACATAATAATAGAGATATGGAGAACGATTCTGCTTACCAATGTAAAACTTATCTGGCGTAAAATAAGTAGGAAAGTTCGGGTCAGATTCGGGGGTCTGCAGTTTCATAGCCTTGAGGAACTTTCCCTCCTTGATGCCGGAGTTTCTTCGAGGGACTTCGCCGATTTTGATGGTGCCATCGGCGAGACTGTACGCGAGCACGAACTTACGACCATTATCTTCGGGGTGGATCCAGTCAAGCTCGCAGAGGTAGCGGAGATACTGCGAGAAGATTTCAATAGAAGTATACATTAGGTACATTTGCAGATGATATTTACGCCCGTATTCACAAACGATGCTGGCTTATGTGAAGCAGCAAATCGAACGCACAGCGTAGAATAGAGCTCTAAGCTGTTATAGGTTCGTGTGTGGTGTGACCCTGTGCATTCACGCGCACTGTGAGACCTCATAGTAATGTTTGTGAATACGGGCGTGAGTTATGCATTTGTTCACGACTTCAGTAAAATCAGTTGTAAATCGGGTACTCGAAATCAAATAAATTGGGTAAGTTTGAATTAAGTTTGGAGCCATCATGAAATAAATCAGACGAAAGGTAATGGCAAGTGCTTTATCGAAAATTCGAAATAGATTTGGTTCAATTCCAATTTAATGTAGGTACCTACATGTAATAAACGTGAACTAATTAACTATTTTAAATTATAAAATCTGAAGTCACGAACAAATACCAGGTTCAAGAAGTTTGCAAAAGCTTTGAGTGTTGAAATAAGGAGCATAGTAAGTTGTTTAATATTTCAAGGAGTAATAAAGTAGATTCCAAGGATCCGTCTCTGAGGACGAGCCAGTGTTTCTTTGCTCGCGTCTGGTGCAAGTTTAATTGAGTCGGGTGACCTGCGAAGTACAGAGTCGCCAGCAAATTGTTACGTGGCGCTAACTTTGCGCGGTGGGTGAAAATCCATTGTCACAGTATAGTGGAATGTAGTAAAGCAATTTTATACTTTAGGACTAGGTAGTTCTTAACTGAGTAGGCTCCAGTGGAATTAGAGCGGTGCAGGAGGTGTGTGTGTTTTTTTGCGTCATATCACGAAACATAAGATGAGATCACCCATAAGACAGAACTGTTACCTACGGAACGCCACATATTGCACTCTTTTCACACCACTCTACTAGTTACCGCAGCAACCAAGTCACTTGTGTTTCACTTAAATAAAGGCTAGTACGTGTACGAAATCACAACCTTTGCCTACATGAAATCGTGACACATAAAAAAACACGAGTTCAATTTGAGACTGCTAATAAGAACAATGAACATGATTTACTTTTCCATTTCACTGTGGTATTGCAAGCGATAAAGTAATCCAACTGCTCTCTGTAGACGTGCAGGTCCTTTGTGTTCGATGTCCGTTCCGTGTCGTATTCACAGCATGTCGGTAATAACTTACATACGATACAATTGACATTGTACCAGTGACCGCAAGACGCAATACACACAGTCTACTGGTAGTGCGAGAATGTGCATGCATAGGTTGTTACAATGTAGAGTTTGTATAGCAAAACTTTTCCAATCTAGCCAAGACCTAAAGTCCTATTTAAGTTTAATCCATTAGAGATTTGAAGCTGCGTTATGTAGTAAAGGAGAAGTAGAAACAACTAGTAAAAATAACAAATAAATTACCCTAATACTTATGTATTCCGTGTCAAAATAAAATGAAAATTAAGTCGACATTTACTTTTTGATTTAGATTTAAGTCATAAATATTACCAAACCCTTTTCTATTAGCGAGGACATAAGTTACATGCAACATCTTACCTTATTAGCATTTAGGTTGTACTTGATGACATCTTTATGTGGAGGTTTTGGCATCAACCCGTAGCAAGACTGCAAAGTATCCTCTGGAGCCCCAATGCCAATGTGCGGAGGAAAACTCTGAAAATGGAAGGTTACGTAAAGTTGTGTTTATTTTCTTTTTCAGTTCGGTTTTTCATATACCTAAAGCTAAACCGTCACGTCCAATTTGTTACAGAAAACCCGCACAATCTCATATTTAAAACAAAAGTCAACAAAACTGCAGTTTTCAAAGTCACCGTAACAATAATGATCGCGTTATTAATCAAATGAATTGTTTGTTTAAAAGCGAAGAAAAATAAAGTGAGATAAAGACGTGGACTCACCTTGGGAAACTCTTTCCGAGTCTCGTGTTGCACCTCGACGCGCGGTGGCTGATCTATGTTTAGCATCGTCCTGTCGCGAGGATGTAGGAAATTATTAGACAGAACAGTTAATTTATGTAAAAGATAACTCTATTGAAAAACAAAGAATATGTTGTCATTTGGTGTGCCATAAAAGACAAGTTGAAGTTCTTCCCTTTTTTGTCGCAACAGGCATTATTAAAGTTTTAATGAACTTCCTAAATACCAACTCGTACGGAATTAAATTGCAATATCTTTAATATGATCGGAACTACATAATGCTAGAAAAAAAATGCGTAATATAGGTAGAGCCACGGTAGAGCTAAGACACGTCATGTCTAACACTTTTCTATAAAAAATAGTGTTCCATGTAATAGTAAAGTCATTCCTTATTAGAACAACGAATATAGGTTAGTGTTTCGTTATTTAAATGTGTCCTATTGTTGCCTATCCCAAAGGACTAATAAAACGTTACACTATTTCATTATTTAAATCTAATTAAACTTCGGCAACGCCAATGACATACAATAAGTACCTAGTATTAATTATTATTAGTTACAGTTTATATAAGTATAGGTTTGGAAATGTTTGTTTATGTTTAAGTATAAGATTTTAAAACACTGGAGAACTAAGAGTTTTTTACTTAAAATAAGATAAAGAAGTTCTTTCTATTCTTACTAAACTCTATTGTAACAAATAATGGTTGGCAATTGTTGAAAAACGCTCGTTATTTTCACACTGGACGTAATTATTACCCAGCAATAGAAGTTTTTGTCGAAGGAAATCTCACCTTATAAGGAAGTTATGACTTTTAAAGTTCCAAACGAAGGTTATTAACAACAAAACAGTAAAATAACTTTTAAAAACGACTTTTTACTACATTAGGTTTTTATGTCATAGAGTAAATGACAAAAATGTATGTTGTAACTCGCATCAAATTTATATTTATTCTCCTTTTGGACACACTTTCAGACGCTTGAAATTTTATGATTTTCCGTACTTTAACCTCTAATACAGTATATTATCTTACCTACAACAAACCTCTTATTGCACAGTGCTTTAGTAAGAAAACATTATAAATTTCGCGGGAAATGTCGTGTTCGCAACGGCAATTGTCGGTTTATACCCTGGCAACGAAGCAGTGCTACTTCTATTGTTAAAGAATTGCACAGATACAACAAAAGTCTCTATTCTTGTAGAAGATTAAATCATTTTTAATGTTTTGGAACATCTTCATGCTACTGAAGTACTACAAACGCGACTATATTTTGGTATCTTTGTAGTTTTTGTGTTATTTAAGTAATGTACTAAATCTGTGGCTAGATACTATAAGAGGTTTTTGTCTTAAAATTGCATTGCACCATTGCAATAACAATATACCTAATCATTCGCGTATCTGACAACGCTATAGATTTCTTGGATAACTTATCCAATGTTACTGAATAAAATAAAGTTACAATAGTGAACGGTATAGCTACCATACCCGTGTGTAATTTTAATTATGTTCGACTAATTAAACCAGAAAGATAGAGTAAAATATTACCTGCCTTCACTGAAATGTAAAAAGGTTTCAATACAGAGCCACAAATCTCCCGCACGGGGAATGACCATCGCTCAACGTCACGGGATGACTACGGGATACTCTATCAATGGGCGAAAGGGAAAGAATATGCAAACAACGCCTTTGTACTGTCGCAGTTGTGCCGTAATTGAATTTTTAATGCCATTATAGTGCTTGAAGTTATGTATAAGTTACAAAGAATTGTGCGTTACTTCAGAATTAATAGGCAACATTTTGTCTTTGCAGGAACCACTGTGGATTTTTCGAGACAAATACAGTCAGCGTCAAATAGTTCGTGACATCCAAAATAGCCAAAAATTTCACAACACGTCTTTGTTACAATAAATTGGAATAAAGTGTCAGCAACTTTTTGACTACTTTGGGTGTCACTAGCTATTTGACGGTCACTATATTCAGGTACGGTACTCATGTAATATAAAAAAAATCGATGTTGACTGATTTTATTATTTTTATACCTACTTTAGGCATACTTTGCATTGGTAGGTGTAATTTTAAATTTTCATGAAAATTAAATCATTAAAGAATCGTTTTTTTTACAAAAGTATTCCTGTTTACTTTTGGTGTATCTTTAAATGCTGTTCAAACTTACTTGTAATATTTCCTCGTAAACGGATCGCAATCGCACAGTAAGAACCGGCGACCCAGCACGAATATTGTTTGCCCCACGATCAGGTCCTTCGGCGAGTAGTATTCTGTCACCTCCGCTTCTGTGGTCTCCATGACGCCAGATGGAAACGACACTAAATGTGGAAGTATGATAATTATTAAAAAGTTAAGTTTTAAAGATTAAAAACTTTAAAACTCTCTCATTAAAACTCATTTATTTCTGTAAATAGGCTTAAAAAAAGCACTTTTACACGTCCCAGTATTAACCCTACCAATAATACATAAGTTTTTAACGCCATAAGTACAATGTTTTTGTCATTGTACTGTCGATAACAAAATACCATTTTTGATATAAAATAGCATGCTATCGTCCATACAATCAATTACACATTTATTGAAATTCACGCAGTTTCAAAATTTTCATTCCCCAAGTGAAAAGGGAACTGTAGAATGTAGTCCTCGCGCGCAAACACACATCGTCTTATGTTTAATTTTATTTTTCTGTTGACGTATTTATGCACTAGCCAGTATCTTATAGCACAGAATAATAATAAGTACTACGTACAGAAGTTTTACTTCGCGAAGGTATTTAAAAAAATGTATGCTCAATTTCATTAACAATATGGTGTAATTTAGCCTGTCTCAAGAGTCAAGCACCATTTTGTTGACAAACGTCAGTGATCGGCACTGCGCCGAAGCTATAGGGCTGACTTCGGTAAAATGATGTGACGTGAGGTGCCAAACTGCGGAAAATGGCGGAGGAAAAGCATGAATTATCATGAATAATATTAACTACTTATTTACCTCTCAGTGTCTTGAGGCAACTTAAAAAAGTACATTCTGTGTTTTTATTATTATTTAGGCAGTTAAATACTGCACAGTATTTAGTACACCATTTTCTTTATTTTCTTCCATCATACACAAGAATACGCGTGCGTGAGTCAATGTTCGCTCGTATGTGAGGCCTTGTCGAATAGTATCCTGTAGGTGGGCCATCGTGCGTGTTTTGTTTTCGATGTAAACTCGCGGAGATGAACAGGCCTGCTTATAGTGAGTATTATTTTACGTTTGTAACTAATAATTTTTGGGCTTAAAAACTTATTTTACTTTAAATAGCCAGCATGTAATTTTTTTAAGCAAGTTTTTATTTGAAGAAATCTTCAATTTCTGTAAGTACTAAACGTTTCAGGCGATCATAGTTTTCTTACTTCCGTATTTAATGATGACGATTTTATTAAATATTTCAGGCGCACAAAAAGTATAACTTATATTGGATGAAGGAGTTTAATTTACTAAGTAAAATTCAACACCATTCTTATGCTTTTCTAAATTACCTTTTTTATTTTCCACACGAAACATTTCGCTTAATTAACCCTGTGGTTGCTGCATGTTTCAGCTATGCTTGCCTCACTGGCAATACAACATCCTAACATATTATTTAAAATTGCATCCACAGCACGTTTGAATAATGCTTCGTTTCCACGTGTTTAACTTTTCAAATTGCATTTCGATGTTCCACTTTGTAGGAGTTAGTTCGCTCTGGCGCACCGGATAATCCCTACAGAGTATCGATGCTTGAAACGATAGAATTCTTTACTTGTATTGGACGGGAAATTGAAACGGATTGTTCTTGTATCTTTAACCGGAGTCTGAGGGCAACGTAAATTAAAGTTTATCGATAAAATGTATCTCTATTTTGACAGCAGAGTAGCCATAACGCTAAAATGAGGTAGAGTTAGGTTATTTGTCGGAGGATTTAGAGTTAAAGTAGAAGATATCTGTCTAAGGATTTACGCAATGTAATAGGCATTTTAAAAATAATTACTTGCAATAACATGTGACTACAGAAACAGAGCTGCGGGTTCATGTCCTTTAAGGAGCCGAAGATTATATAACAATAGCAATAATATGTACATGAGTTTTAAAATATGCAAGTATTATGTATTGTAGGTACCTACTTGTAGTCTGCTGTGAAGATGCCATAATTTAATCTTAATGCGATAGTAGATGTGAGAATACGAAATCTGAAAGGTTGTAGCTGTAGTTATAACTAAAATTAATGTACAATCTGTGTTTTGAATTTCAAATCATTATTATTTTCTTTTGCCACTATCAGGAAATTTCGGAAACGAAAACAAACCATAAATCGTGCTCTATCGACTCGCGAATAAGCCTTTGGGTAGTTTAAAAACATTTCCTAATCCTTATTGCAACGGTGGCGGGTTTAATAATATTTTCGGCCCGAATAAATAAGGCGGTCGTTTTATATTAATAGCTTTTAAGGGGATTAAGCTATGAAAGTTGGACTTGTGCTCTCTCAAGTAATCCGTCGAATGAAATTATCATTTTATATAGCAAGCGATGAGAATGTCCTCGCAAAGTGCTGGCGTTGTCTCATAACAGTTTATTCCGTATCAACTTTGTTGTTTATGACTTGGGAATACGACGTTTGAGCGTTAATGTGTATTGTTTCATATTTGTAAGGATTATCGTTATAGCTTCAAACTTAGTAGGTAATTTTTTCTATGTACATTATTCGGAACAAAAATGTTATGTGCGCCGGGTACCAAGAATATCTTCATACTGATATCAGGTCAAAATGCCCACAAAATATAATGACAAAGTTTTATCGATCACCATAAAACATGAGTGTTATTTTATCGACTATAACCTTCAAGGA